GTCGTCCAGGGCTGGGCTTAGCCATCCAGCCTCGAAGGCACCTCGAGCAACTCTCAGGGGATGGCCAGGGGATTTCCACTCTTGGGGCTCTCCAGAGCAAGGGAGGGAGATGGCTTTTGTGAGGAACGCTTGGCTCCTGGAGGGACTCCAGTTCTCTTCTATTTTATTAAATGCCAGGGCAGACAGGTGGATTGTTCTCATTAAGCCGTGATTTATAGGCAAGGCTGCCGTCCAGATTAAATCAGAGCTAAATGAACCCCTTAAAATTAGCCTTGGGCTTCTTCCAATGCAAACAGAGCCAGTGGTTTTTCCAGGTCTTCTGCCAGTCAGCGGGAGCGCTCAGCGGCAAGCCTAGGTCCCGGCAGAGGGTGGCCGGGCAGCCTGGCCAGGTCGGGGCCGGCGACACAGCATCCGCATCCACAGACGGATCCGCAACCGAGGTCTGAGCATCCCTGCTGGGCGATGCGAGGGGACATCCCTGCCCTGGGCAGGGGGACACCGTAGGGTGGCTGAGGATGCTGTAGGGCGGCAGAGGACATCCCCTTCATGGGGACATCCCTGCGCTCGGAGCAGAAAGCGGAGCAGAGGGCTGAGCGCTCAGGAAGACTGACGTGTGCGCTTGGGCTGTGCAAGGCTGTGGACACTTGCTTTATTTTCAAACAGGTACGGAAATGAAATCAGGAGCTGGTATTCAAGCAGGTATGGAAATCATGAGCTGACGGTGAATGTGAATTGTCCCCAGCCATTATCACACCCGAGGACCCCGCGTCCTCCTCCTGGCCCGGCAGCTTTCTGGCAGGGCAGGCAGGGCCGGGCAGGGCCGGGCAGGGCAGGACAGGGCAGGAAGGGGTGTAGGAAAGCTGCAGTGCAGTGATTGGGAAGCTGGAGTGGTCCAGTCTCCGCTCTGCCACCGACCCGCTCTGCCACCGACCCGTTCTGCCAACCAACACTGCCTTTCTGTGCCCCCGCTCCCCAGCCACTGGGAGGGGATAATATTACGCAGCCGTGTTTTAAAGTGCTGCGAAAGGGACCGCTTAAGTGCTATTACGGGACCAAAAGGAGGAAGAAATACAAGTTTCCAGGGTCATTTGCAGACATCGGCTTGTCTCAGCATCTTGGGAGAGCGCTATGGGCAGCATCCATCGCAGCCAGAGCAGGGCTGAATGGATGTTGGGGCAGATGCTGCGGGATGTGCTGCCCTTGTGCCTTCCTCGTCCTCTGCACCAGAGCGGGGCTCATGGGGGAGCATGTAGCCAGAAAACTGCTCCTCCTCAGCTCTCCCTCGTCTTCGGGACGCGGTTTACCATCCCAGCCGCTGGTCCCTGTGACTGTCCCTTTGCTTTCACCTTTTATTGCAGCCCAGGAGAGCCCCGGCCACATTCCCCACCCCGTTTCCTGCATGATTCTCCATCACCTTCAAGCAGCATCATTCACCATCACTGCCTGCTTCTCACTCAGCTCTGCATCGCAGATCCCACTGCCCCAAAGCTGAGAGCCAGCAAGCACTCCCAGGGACCCCAGGCTCCCATCTCCTCACCCTTTCGCTCCATATTCCCTTGGGACAGCCAAAAAAATCCCACAATGAGTTAGGAGCCCTGCCTAGCAGGTGGCCTCAGACTACCTGGAGAAAAAAAAAAAAATCCCAGTTTCTTCTTGCTGTGGTTCATCTGGTGTGCAAAGATGCCACTTTTAGGATGAGCTCCTCGGTGCAGCTTGAGGCTGCAGAGCACTCAAGGGCACTTGCCTTTTCCTCGGGGGCCCCAGGGGAATTCCTGTACCGTGGGGGCGAGCGCTCTCGGCAGGTTTGGTGGTCTGCTCGGTGCTCCGTGAGTCCTATCACCAGTGGCCCAGCTCAAAAATTCATGAGCGAGCCGGAAAAGCATCAGCATAAACCACCAACCGAATCACTTGCAACGACAAGCTAAGAGGGGAAGATTAAAGGCTCTTTTTAGATCAAGTGTGAGCAGAAGAGCTAAACTCAACCAGCACCATTATTTTTATCCCCCTGCAGTTCCCAAAGTAGGGCTCAGGACCCATGAGGCCCCATGGCCGCTGCTAAAAGGTAACATGAGTTTTATAACTCCCCTGCCCCAGCCGGGATTAGCTAACACTGAAGAAACCCTTTGCTGGCTACACAGGAAAGCTGCTGGTGGAATTAAGACTCCTCCCAGTCCCACCAGTAAGGAGGTGTGCCCCTTAGGAAGGCTAAAAGGCACAGGCAGGATCTGTGATCTCAGGTCCAGGATGAAATTCGTGGTCACCACCAGTCCCACACCAGTGGAGCCTGAGAAATGGTTTCCTTATCACCAGGTCGAGTGGCAGCCATCAGGCTGCTGGGCTTTCCTTCCCAGCTGGGTTACTGGTGGTCCAGCAGCGTTCCTGTTCCCCACCTACACAGGCGAGGAGGAAAGAGGACCGCCTCTCCGCATCCATTTTTCCCTAAATTCATCCCATCCATTTCCAAGGCAGGGGCCCCAAGGAGAAAACATGCTTTGGAGATGTGCAGGAAAGCCATGAGGACACACTCACCTGGCGTAGCCTGGAAAGGGTTACCCCTCTTTTGGCCCGCTGTGGGTTCACGAGAGCCTGTGGGCTGCTTAGAAAGAACAGGAGTGGGGACCTATAGATACCTGCTGGTTTTGGGGAGAGGGTCTTCAGGATGCGGTTTACCATCCCAGCCAAGGAAGGCAATTTGCGGTACCCACGGCTTCGGGGTCCTGCGAGTGGGGGGTGCTGCCCGTCGCTGCCCGGCAACGCCCCAGAGAGCAGGCACCAAGCCAAGGCTCGCCCTGAAGCAGGAGCTGTGCTTTGAGGGACCGGAGGAACCCAGCAGGGAGATAACAAGGCTCTTGGGCTGCGAATCTGACCCTCTCACCGTAAATGCGATTCCAGATTCCACCCTCCCCGCACCTCGCAAGCCGCTGCCTGGATCTGCGCAAATAAATCAGCTTTGCCGGCTGAGCCGTGCTCTGCGATCCCCGCCGGGAACCCAACTACAAAGTTCTTGTAGGCAGAAGGACGCGAGCACGTAACCCCTGCTCTGCAGCAAGCTCCACTCCCCCGGGCTGCCTCCCACAGCCCCCTGCCCGCACGTCCCCACCGTGCAGCCCTCGCCCACCACCCCGCTCAACCCCTGTACGGGCCATCCCTGCTGTCCCAGTCCTCGGAGCACCCTCGGGGGTTCGGGGAAGGATGACAGAGTCGATGAGGCAAGGGGGAAGGCAGGAGATTGGGATATGAAGCAGGCAGGGGCTGTGAATGATGGCTCCTGGGTTAATTCATCCACATATACTTACCAGCGCCTGCTGAGACAGCCACCACCCCGCTCAACCCCTGTACGGGCCATCCCTGCTGTCCCAGTCCTCGGAGCACCCTCGGGGGTTCGGGGAAGGATGACAGAGTCGATGAGGCAAGGGGGAAGGCAGGAGATTGGGATATGAAGCAGGCAGGGGCTGTGAATGATGGCTCCTGGGTTAATTCATCCACATATACTTACCAGCGCCTGCTGAGACAGCCGAGCTGTGCCCCTGGGAGGCAGGCTCCGTGCCCGACTCCATCCCTCCATCCCGGCTCTAACCTCTCTCCCAGCCTGCTCCGATGCCATTTCTCTTTCTTAATAATATTAACACGCCGTCTTCTTTTGCACTTTCCATCCTTTAGAGATGCTCACTCATTAACCCGCAGGGCGCTATCGAGAGCAGTTGTTAACCTGCTCTTCTGGCTTCCTCCCGGGGGAAACTGAGGCACAGAGAGATCAGGGCTTGCACAAGCCGCAGCGCACACCAGCGTCCCACGGGCAGCCCGTGCCGGCGTCACCCACGCAGGGATGAGGGAGCAGGGAAGGAGGTCCATTTGGCCCCAAAACCCTCCCCAGGCTTATCACCGAGCCGCTTGCCAGTAGCCGGGGGTGGGTCCCTTGGGGAAAAGCCACGTCTCCAGCCTTCATCCCGGCTTCATGCTCCCTCTCCTTCCTCTTGCAGAGTCAGTGCCGATGGCGGTGATCATCGGAGTGGCCGTGGGGGCCGGCGTGGCGTTCCTGGTGTTGATGGCCACCATCGTCGCCTTCTGCTGCGCCCGTTCCCAGAGGAGTAAGTGTCTCCCCCAGCCCCCTGCATCCCTTCGGGCAGGGCTGGGGCTAAAACCTTGGCGGGGGGGGCGAATAGAGTGGGTCACAAAGAAATTAGAGGCCGAATTTACTGTGTCCTGGTATGATCTGCTCCTTGTGTTGGTCTACCAAATGTTCAGCTGCTAACGGTAGCCCTGCGGGAAAAGGAAAGAGGTTCGGAGCACGTGGAAAAATATGCCAGGGTAAACGCTAAGCCCCGTTAGCAGCACAGGCAGCTCGGGAGGGGTGTCCTGGGGGCAAAAGGACTGCTCCTAATCCCTCCCTTGGAGAAATCTGGTGTCCAAGAGGGAGAAGCATCCTCACCGTGCCAAAAACCCTCCTCCGTTTGCGCTCTCTGTTCTGCTTCTGGTTTAATTCTGTTTTTCTCGACACGAAATGCGTGTTTCCTAGTGGGAAATTACAGCCAGTCGAGGGGTTTTACATGAGACACGTGGGTTTTGAAGCCTGGCTGCGGTGGGAATACAAGTTAAAGTGCCGTTAGAGACGCAGGTAGAAGAGAAGGAGGGGTAAACAGCGTGGCATCGTGTTGCCTCATTAAAAAGACACCGGGAAATTAAAGGAGGATTGTTGGCTAAATGAAAAGGCATCAAACCAGGAGGGAGAAGAGTGTGATTGTCTGGAGCATCTCAGGCCACCGGGGAGAAGAGGAGACACTCGATGGTGCTCCCAGCTCGGGAGACGCGTGGTATGGATGCCGGGATGCCAAGTTCTCTGTGTGTGTGTGCCAGAAAACCCAGTTCTTCGCTTTTCTTTTTATTTTTCCCTCTCTTGATCATTTGCAAAGCAATCAAAGACACCAGGTTCCTCCTGGATTTGGGTATGAATGCACGGCCTCCCGCGGCAGAAATGTGTTTAATTTTACGAGCGATAGTGATGCCTCTCCCTGGTTTATCCCCTGGTTTTTTGAACTCTTGCAGCCTCCATTAGTAAGTATTAACAAATTAAATGAGGGGCAGTCATTAATCTTGCTTGCGGGGGGAGGATTCCTGACGGACAGGCCCCAAGACCAAGCCAGTTGGATGTTGTGGAGATCATTCAGCGGCGATTCGAGCTCCTGGAGAAAGCCAAGCCGTGTTAGCAGGCCAGTGCTCGGTCGCAGTCAGCCACGCTTTCGCCACGCCGCGTCGTTCGGAGCAGGGGAGAGCGTGTGCTTCGTTATTTTCCTCTCAGGTGACGTAACCAGATGGTGCGGGGTTCTTTACGGGACGTACGATTCAACACTAATGCCGTGACAACAGATCAAAGACGTGGTGCCAGGAGCTGCCAAAACAGGGTCCCTCCTTGGTTTTGGGGGGAAATTGGGAGCATCAGCAGCTAAACCAGCGGCAAGCAAGCATTAGGGAGGTAGAAACAGCAGGCTGAGAAGGTGAGGAAAGGACTTTCATCATGGTTAGTGGTATGACATCAGAGGTATTACAGAGATCAGCTCAGGAGTGATGGAGCCAGCAGAACACTTGGATGTCAGGAGAGGGACTCGTTTCCTACCAGGATGACTGCAGGTTCCTCTCCCAAGACAAATACCAGAGCATCGTTGCATCATTTAAAACAACAACCTGCAAACAAAACCTGCCGGCAGGCTGCGGGGACGGCTCCGCCCGGCTCCCGGCAGAGGGGGGCAGGGGGAAAAAAAGAGAGGGCACCCCCTGATGCCTGCAACCAGCCGCCGACCGCAACTAACGGCACCGGGGGAGGCAATTCCTGGCCTTGCTTTGGCAACACGCAGCAAAAAAAAAAATGCACCGGTTGCAGACACATCGAGCCTGGAGGCTCTGGAAAAGAGAAAAAAAAAAGACTTTACTGCACATCTGTTGTTGTATCTTTGGTGACTTAACGGCCCAGAGTTATTTAAGGGGGAACACTCCTAGGAGAGGATGTGCAAGACAGGAATTAACTTCTCCTTGTGATTAAAGACAGAGGCTCCGGCATCGGGAACATGGTCCCAGCAAGAAAAAAACAAAAGAAAGAGCAGTAGTAACTTCCCAGCAAAACCCTTTGCCTTGCACCCTGAGACTTGGAGACGTCTGTGGGTGGCAGCCAGATATCGAGGGCCAGATATCGAGGGCCCGGGAGGCCGGGATGGATTAATTCAGGGATGGAGCTTCGAGCCAGCGCTGGTTGTGCGGTTCAGTTTGGTTTTACAGCCACAACCGCCGGCTCCTCCTGCGTGGTCCAGGACTGAGTGGGTGCAGTCCTGGCTCGGCAAGGCGCTACCGGTTCCTTCAGCTGGAGGTAGATCTGACGAGCCCAGGGGTTCGCGGAAGTTTTTTGGGTCCGGGAGGGGGTGGGGGAGGCGAGAGCCAGCTCGGAGGCTGGAGCCCAGCTTCAAAGCCGGGAGCTGTTTAGATCTCGCTGTTCAGATTTGCATCCGCCCCTGCTTTTCATCTCGGAGTCGCCTGGCCGTTTCTGCTCCCGCTGCTTGCTGTCTTTGGTTTAATTTTGCTAAAATGAGTTCTTCAAAGCACGCCTGACACCTTCAGGGAAGGCAGAGAGTCTCTCCAGAAACGTTTCTCTCTGCCCTGCATGAAAACAGGCTGCTTGGAGCAGCGGCCAGGGATGATTTTTGTCCTTCCCAAAGCCCTGGCTGCATCTTTGTTCGTTGCTTGGGCTTTTCCATGCGCAGCTGCCCCCCAAACCTGGAGAAGGCTTTTCTCAGGGGCTTCCCCGCACCAGCAAAGAGCTGTCACGTCCCTCGGGAGCGAGATTTCACAAGCAGACACTGCAGATCAGCGGTCTGGACAAACAACCCACCGTCTCTTTGAGCAGTCCTGGTGCAGCCCAGCCCCTGTTAATAGCACCGTGGGTACGGCAGAGACCAGCCAAGCTCCCGAAGGAATTAAAATAGAAATCTGAGCTTCCCCGAGGCAAAGGTTTCACGTGCCCGTACCTTATGGCAACAGAAAACGTTGCTCCCCCAAGAATTTTCCCCGGTGTTGCCAGACGTCCTCGGCAATCAGTCGGGTCCCTGAGGGTGCTCCGCGATACCCAACTAACCCCTTCTCCGTCTCGCTCTTTGCCCAGATCTGAAAGGCGTGGTTTCTGCCAAGAACGACATCCGCGTGGAGATCGTCCACAAGGAGCCGGCCTCGGGCAGGGAGACGGAGGACCACCCAACCATCAAGCAGCTGATGGTAAGGATTTTCTTCTCCCCATAAGCAATTAAGTGTTTGATGGTAATGAGCCCGGGCACATGTAGTTCAGCGCCGTAATCCCCACTCAAGGCAAAGATGCTCTTCCAAAAAAATCTTGCTCTTGACATATGCATTCTCCTGCCATAAAAGCTCCTCGAGTGAAACTTTGCTAATGAGGAGGGAGAGCTGGGAGAGGTTTATTGCAGGAGCCCAGCTGCCCGCGGGGCTAATTGCAAGGCAAATTTGCCACCTCGTGCGGGGAAAGAGCTGCAAACTGCAAGTAGCCACGCGATAGGTGAGCACAATATAATAATGAGCTAATTAGCCAGCAAGAACTGCGCTCTCCTGGACACAGTTCAGAGCGTTGTATGTGCACACAGTTGGGTGCAGATTGCTGCGCCGGGGGGGTGGTGGTGGGGCCAGCTTGGACCTGGCTCTGTAATAACCTGGGAGGTGTCACCTTCCTGAGGCCGCTGCCTTTGCCCGAGGGGACCAAACAACACAAGCAGGGCATGAGGATGATGATGGACATCCCAGGAAATTCAGCTTCAGCCCACAGACCAGCGCGTCATCGCAGCTGTTCTCCGTGTCTCAGCCCCAGTTTGCCTTTGCTTTTGCTTGCTGGTGTCATGTCGTAGGTGACAAATACAAGCGGAACAAACGGCGAGGAAAGGCGAGGCACAGAAAGCCGCACAGCCGTAAAAGGTGAGGGAAAAGAGCAGACAGGAAAGGGAGAAGGGATTGAAGAGGCTGGAGGCTGCCGGGTGCTCCAACCGTTCGGGTTTTTTTGGGCAGCGCTTGTAAGCATCGGTACGCGCTGCCTGCAAATGCTCTTCGATGAACTGCCGGTGGAAAGGCAGGGCTGAGGATCACGGGGCAGGCAGAGTCGATGTCTGATGGGGCACACGGATGGCAAGGGAGCCTCCAAATGAGGAGGAGATGGAGATCTGGCGTGTTATCCCAGCAGCGCTGAGGTTTCTGTGTAAGATGCTTCGTTCCCGGCAGGGCTTTGCGCCAAGGAGTCTGCAAATCCACGGCGGGATCTGCAAGGCTTCACTCGGTGGAAGGACAGAGGAGGCTGGGACTTGGGTTTGGAGCGATCTGCTGAGAAGAGGGGGAAGGAGGAGCTTCCTCTCCATAGGCCCCTGTGCCACCGTCTGTGGAGGCAGTGATCGACAGTGCCAAGCCCAGACCCGGCTTCCAAGGGAGCGGCTGAGACCAGCCCAAACGCTGCTCACGACTCAGCCAACAAGCTGGAAGCACACACGAAGCCGCGGCGGAGGAGACGTACGAGCAACACTTACCACTGGCGAGTAAACGAGGAAGAGGACGGTCGTGAGAGGCCACGCAGAGGATCTGAGCTTGCAGGGGGCTCGTCTAGATTATTTGCCAGAGCCAGACGGTGATTTAACATCACCCGGTACCGGAGCAGCACAGAGCCGCACTGTGCACGTTTCAGTGAGGATGCTGGCAGGATGGAAATGGTGCGGAAAAAACTGACACCACTTATTTGATAGCTGGGACAAAAATGCTTTACAGGGAGAGGTTTACAGAGCTCGTGTGTTTTAGCTTATCAGCAAGACCGCTGAGAGGTGGTTTGGTTACAGCACGGTATAAAGGGGCTATTTAAGTGCCAACAGGGTGGGCAAAGTCGAGCAGTTTTGGCTACGACATGACGGCCTGGCTGCTGGAGCAGGAGAAGGTGATTGTCCCCTTCTCTTGGCCAAAGCCAGGCGCTTTTCCAGAAGATCCATCAGCTGGAAATAACGCTGTTGGATCAAAGCTGTCCAAGAGGCTGGACGAGATGGTCCACAGCCTCTGACCCTGACGCTGGGCGGATTTGGCACCGGTTGGGACATCCTACCTGGCAGGGAGAAGACCTCAAAGCCCCTTCCCCTGCATGGACCAGAGCCTCACCATTTTCTTCTGCCCTTGGCATGAGTGTTCCCAGCAAATACTTCCCAATTTTCTCTCCCAGTTTCTCCTCTCGGAGCCCCCGAGGGCCCCCGCTCTCCCTCATCCCCCTCCTCGCTGTTTCCAACGGCCAGTGTGAGCATCCTTCTCCAGCCATCCTCCTCCCAGGATTCGGATGCTGAACACATTCCTAAGAAGAGGCCCTGAGTTTGGCAATAAAATGATGGATCAAAAAAAAAAATCACCTTTGCTCACGAGCGGTGATGAGACCTCCCCAGCAGGAGCAGGGGGCAATGCACGGCACCTCACTTGCTCCCTACTCTCACCCCAAGACTTTCCTGCTCTCCTTCCTCCCCATAGCAGCGTTATTTCCCCCCGCTGCTTCTTCATTTGCCTTCCCTAAGCGTGTTGTGATATTTCCAGCCTGGGCTCAACCTCGACGACGTCCTTTGAAATGATCTCCTTGCCCTCAACAATGTTCATAACACCTTGCAGTTTAATATCAACTGCGAATTTCATTAACATGCTGGGTGCTCGCGCAGAGACATCATTAATGCAGATGTTAACGAAAAGCAGGCCACGCTCGCAAACAGCTCCCCTCTGCTCGACGCCTCGCTCCTTCGCATCAGCTTTTTCGCTCCCCGTCCCGGACCTTTGGGCAAGCGCCTGAGCTCCAGCACGGCCCGACCTGCTCCTGCCAAGCTTTGGGAGCGGAGAGCCACCCTCTGCACCGGGGATGGGGCCTTTGCTCCTCGGTTTCCCACGGCGTCTCTGCCTTGCCAGAGCGTTTCTGGCTGCGGAGCGCCGCCGTGATTCTTTATTTCCCCCCCCAAAAATCCTATTGCACTTGTTATTTGTTATTCTCCAGCCATCTGTGACCTCCGCAGCTCTCCGTGCTTTTCACAAATAATTATTCATGCATCTATAAATTCATTAACACCTTAGGATACACGTCATGCTGGCTGATTTGCATATGTTCACATTGTCTCAGCACCGTCTCTCCCCCCCTCCAGCTCCCCGTTAGCTGTTCTGCCAGGCGTTGCCTACGGGCAGGGGAAAGGCTGCCAGCCCGCAGGGGCCAGAAAGCAAACAGCAGCCAGTGGCTGGGGGCAAAAAAAGCGCCCGTTAACGGGTCTGATCCTGGGAAAAAAAATCAGTCAATCACAACCGCAGCTTTCTCTCTCCTGCGCGTTGCATCGGCGCACCAATTCGGCTGAGCCTGGTCTGTGATTAGAGGTTGAAGAGCATCATCAGCTCCGGCGCGGCGTAACCTCCTCTGTTGTCATGGCTGGGTGATTGGGTTTTATTCCTGGCTGATTGGACTCCGTGCCTCAGTTTCCCCATCTGCGAAATGGGGCTGATGATCGTAAAGGAGTCATCCCCACTGCCAGGAGCAATCGTGATAGAGACGATCCCAAAAAGTGACTGGCATCCCAAGTCAAAGGGGGTCCCGTGTGGCTGGGCAGACCCAGGCATCGCCTTCGGTTCATATTTGGAGCGGAACAGTCAAAATAACCCGCCCAGTGGCCAAGTTGATGGTCTGTTCCTCGCTCACCTTTCTTTCCTGTCCCTATCCTGAAACCCATCCCTCTGCTCCAAAGGATGGTCCCAGTTTGTTCACAGCCCCCAGATGCATTTTCCACTCAGGAGCTCAGCTTGGATCCTCACAGAAAAGGAAAAAAAAAAAATCAAAAAATCAGAGGTGAAATTTCAGGCCAGGCTCATGTCTACTTGCAGCCCAGCTCTCGTGGCATCATTTTCTCTGCCTTTCTCCCCAAGAAAAGCTCCACGTGCCCAGCAGCCGGTGCCACTGCAGCCCTGGGAAGCCCCAGCAACCCCCCAGCTGGCAGGTACAGGCTTATCCCCACTTCCCCAGGGACATTCGCCCTGCGCAAGGTCTGGATCGGAGCCGGCTTGCACCTCCATGCCATCCATCCTGGTCCAGGATGCTCAGGGCACGTCCTTCCTCCGCAGCTGACACCAGCACCCGCAGCAGCTCGTGCTTCCTCCAGCCAGGGAGAAGACCCACCACGTAAGGAAAGAAAAAAAATATATATATATCCCCGTGAAAATGTTGGCGACCTTTGCAGCTCACGGCTCAGGGGTCACGGTGGAGCTGGACCACCACGAGGTGTGGACATCGCCCAGGACTGAGCTATCTCGAGGCGGGTAACATCATCAGGGGTAACGGGTGCCATGAGCACAGAGAAGCTGGAGGCTGCCACAGCAAGCTCCTGAGAAAGGAAGAAGGATGCAAGAAGTACGGCAGGACATACCGCAGGCTGCCTGCCACCGCCTTCGCTCACCCAAAAAGCAACGTTTTGGTGGGACGAGGCGATGCAGCTTCATCCGGAGGCGTTGGCTGGGAGCTCACATCGCCGGACGGCGTTTGAAGGTGATAAACCCTCGGCTAGCTGGGAAATCCCAGCGGGGTTTGGGTTTTTATGTATTTATTTGTGTGCTTGTTTCCTCACTGGCAGCCGGTCCCTGCTGGGAGCAGAGGAAACCGCCGTCTCGGGAATCTGTTCGACAACATCCCTCGCCCCTGGTAGGGTTTGACCCACATGAGTTTCAAAGTGCTGCTGAGCAGCATCCAATTACCTGACAAACGGGAAATTATAATTAAACACCGTGCAAGGGAGGGGGGAGACACCTCGCCCAGAGAGAGGGGCTCGCCCTCGAGCCTGCCGGGTCTGGATGGATGCGCAGGGACCCGGCCGGGGACTCCGGAGGGAGCAGTGTTTTAAAAAAACGTATCATCTCCGCTAATGAAAGCAAAGAATTTAATATCCGGTCTGTTGGATTTGACATCCCAGCTGAAAGCGGCTTCGTTTGGCGGCGTTAAATGAGGGAGCGCTCCAGCGGGCAGAGGATTAGGAGGCACGGCGCTGGAGCTGGCCGCTGTTTTCATACTTTTAAGTTCCGTTTCCCTGTCTTGAGTGACCTTGAGGCATTGCTTTGCTCCGCAGGGATGCGCTCCCTTGGCGGTAGGAGCCAGCACAGCAAAGCTGGTGTGATGCTTCGGAACAAGAAGGGGTCACTCTTTTGCAGCAGGGGAAACTGAGGCAAGAAGCAGCGGCGATTATGGACGCGGTTCGAGGGACCGGCGA